GGATCCCCATGTAGTATGTAGTTGAAATTTGAGAAGACTGGAAATGTGATATTCATGGTGGGTGGGTCGGCCGGGGATTTTTATTCTGTTCATCAGTGTTTGCAAGAACGTTTTGTACGTGTGTGCCAATGAAAGAGTGAGTGAAATAAATGATTTATCAAACGTCTCATAAATTAAATTATTTATTAACGAACGAACGAATGAATGAATGAACGAACGAACAGGATAAAAGATGTATCTAAACGACATTGAACAAACAAATGAGTGAGTGAATGAATGAATGAATGAATGAATGAATGAATGAATGAATGAATGTATGAATGAATTAATGAATGAATGAATTAATGAATGAATGAATTAATGAATGGCCAAACGAACAGCCGACACAAACGTCCAGCGGACCATCCTAATTGAATTAGCGTGCTATTTATTTACATAATCTGCAATTAATTGCAGGCTAGTTGGTCTCTCCAGATGGCCTCGTCCTTGCTCCTTCTCCTTGTCCTATCATCATCATCATCATCATCATCATCATCATCATCATCATCATCATCATCATCATCATCATCATTATTATTATTATTAATAGTATTAGTAGTAAGTACAGGCAGCTGTTAGGCATGTTTTTTGAACTGTAAATGTTGTTATTATTATTGTTATATTATTATTGTTTATTACTATTATTTCATTCGGTTTGACTTTTCGAAATTAAATTCTCCGCAAACTCGGACGGAAGGAGCCGGCGAGGAATTCATCCAATGCAATTAGTCTTCGTTCGGATGCATTCAATGGAAATAATAAAAATAACAACATCAACATTAATATTAGCATTAATAACAACAACAATAATAATAACAACAATAACGTTAATGATAATGATGCACGGAGAATAAATTGAAAAATCACGATCTTGAATTTTTACATTAAGATTAGCAGTTACACGACTTGGTACATGTAGCACGTTCTTACGCACACGCACACACGCACACACACACACACACACACGCATACATACACACACATATATTCCATTATACATAAATATACAATGTAATTGTTTGTAATCATAATCAGTGTGTACTGATGCAACTATGTGTGTCGTTTCAAGTTTGAATGTCACAGAGTCGTCGAGGATGACGATGATGATGGTGACACTGACAAAATGGCGGCAAACAACAAAGATAAAATATTTCCATAACATCACTACGACACCAAAGATTAAAAAGTTTAAATTTTAAAGGTTTTAAAAGGAAAAAATAAATAAACTTCTATGTTTTCAAAGTTTTCAACGTCCCTGCTTTACTTTTTTCTCTTTTTCACTTTCGATACTTCTGCTGGAGTTAAAACGTCTGCAGCGGTAGTAGTATTAGTAGTAGTAGTAGTAGTATTAGTAGTAGTAGTAGTAGTAGTAGTAGTAGTAGTAGTAGTAGTAGTAGTAGTAGTAGTAGTAGTAGTAGTAGTAGTAGTAGTAGTAGTAGTAGTAGTAGTAGTAGTAGTAGTGATAGTGGTAATAGCGAAAGCAGTCAGAAATAAAATTTTGTTCACAACCCTGTGTGTTCGGTGTTGACATTAGTTAGATCTGCGTCGTTCCCTTTTAGGTTATGTTTAAGTTGTTGTTTGGCACCTAGAGGCGCCACTACTTGAAGTCGATCCTCGCCAAGAGGGAGACGAGCAACATCAGCTTTGTTTGAGTGGACCTGTTTCTCCAGCGGCATACTGTTCATCACTATCACCTCCGTTCTGTTTGCGAAGTCTGTTTTCATGTTCTCGCCGTTGCCGTTGTTGTGGTGGCTTCTGCCGCTGTTGTGTCGTTCCTTCCTACGATTCGAACGGCTGCAGCAACTTTTAGCCGCAACAGTACCATCGTTGACAGTGTTGTTGCTGTTGCAGTTGCTGATACGAACGCAGCTACAGCAGCAGCAGCAGAAAATAAACTTAAGCCTGGAGAAGAAGTACTGGTCGTAGTACCTGCGGAACTGCTTGCTGAGAAAGTAGAGGGCGATTGGGTTGACGCAACTGTTCATGTACGATGTGCAGATACCGACGATCTTGAACCAATGCCAGAAACGGTTGTACTCGAATAGCGAGAAGGAATATGCGATCTGGTAGATGTGGTGCGGTAGCCAGCAGAGGCTGAAGATGACGATGCAACTCAGCACGATCTTCGCTACTTTCTTTCTCGCCTCTATTTGCTGTAGTGTTGTTGTTGAGTTGTTGTAGTTGTAGCAGTAGTTGTTGGCGTTGATGATGTCACGTGATGTTTGTGTTGTGTTTTTGTTTTGTTATTTATATTATATAATTTTTATTTATTAATAATTTATTTTTTATAAAAAATTACTTTCTAATAAATTTACCGGCAAATGCGTCTTAAAAATCCGATCGATGGATTAATTTTTAGGCACTTCAGTCAGAGGCTCGCCTTCTTCAAATTGAAAAAAAAATCCGATTGTTTTTTTCAAAATTTCAATTTATCATCTCGTTTGAAGAATGCGCTTCATAATTTAATTAGGTAGCGCTTAATTTTTTGAGAAGGTCATGAAGGCAGACATAAACACGTACAGACACACACACACACCACACACACACACACACACACACACACACACACACACACACACATATTCATTATATTTTCTTTCCAAAATTGATTTACA